TAGTTTTCTCTTCAGTCCTTCTAGGACTTGGAAGAGAACTAGGTGGGATTACAGCCCATGACTGGAATTCAACAATTGAAGGATAGAACCTTCAAGAAGAACAGAAGGAATAGAAAGGGAGGTAGAGTCACACTCTGTTAAGAAGACATATCTCTGCACAGAAATACAGGAGGACGAGCTTAGTAGCCCCATAAAGAGCATCTGGATTAATATAAATGGAGCAAGGAATGAAAGGAACACAGCGGTTGGAGTCTATTACCGAACACCCAGTCAAAGGGACAATGAGGATGAAACTTCTGAAAAACAAATTGCCAGGAGTCATGATGTCATCGTTATGAGGACTTGAAATTCCCTGATATCTGTTGGGAGACAAATTCTGCCAAACATTTCCCTTCCAAGAGATTCCTGACATGTGTTGCTGATAACTTCCTCCAGAAAGGGCAAATACTATTTTAGACTGCATTAAAGACATATCACTTCCAAATCACTAATTCCTCTCTATTCAGCCCTGGCTAGGCCTCATCTGAAGTTCTGTGTCCAGTTCTGGGCACCACAGTTTAAGAATGATGCAGACAAGCTAGAAGGGGTTCAGAGGAGATCAACAAGGCTGATCTCAGGACTGGAAACAAAGCCTTATGAGGGAAGATTGAAGGAGTTGGGCATGTTTAGCCTGGAGATGAGAAGACTGAAGGGAGATGTGATCGCACTCTACAGGTAATTGAAAGGCTGTCAGAAAGAGGAAGGACAAGGTCTCTTAATCCTACGGGACATGGAATCATACGGGCTCAAGTTACCGGAAATGAGATTCCAGTTAAATATCGAAAAAATTCCTGACTGTTATAACAGTATGGCAGCAGTATGGCAATTACCGAGCCAGGCTGTGGGCTCTCCCACACTATGGGCATTCAAGATGCAACTAGACAGCCATTGGAGGGGGATGGTTTAACTGGGAGTCCTGCACTGAGCAGGGACTTGGATCCAATGGGCCTCTGGCCCTTTCCAACTCCATTCTATGATTCTACCTCAATATTCCTATAGCAAGCTGCCTATATGATTCCCCACCTGATCCTCCACCCCACTAACTGTGCATGTAACTGATTATAAAAGTGTTTTGTACAGACTCGATCTTGTACAAGTCTCTTTGAGGACTACCTAAATCAGGGGTGTCCAAACTTTTTGCAAGGAGGGCCAGATTTGGTGAGGTGAAAATGTGTGGGGGCCGACCATTCAGCCTGACATTCTTTGAACCATTAACATTAAATGCAAATGAACTATTTTATGAAAGACCCTGCACTAATGTGAAGGGTGATACTGAGATCTCAACTGCATTATATAGGCCAGGTCTGGCTCAAAAACAGTGGTTTTGATGCGCAGGATGTCACGCAGGTGAAAGTCACTTAGTCTCGTCCTCACGCGGTTCTTGTCAATGTTCATAACCAAGAATGTCTTCTCGCACAAGTATGTCGAACCAAACAAGCTCAGCATTTTCTTAGCAAATGTTCGAATCTCTTGGAACCTGTCTTTATCCAGCTGGTGGTAAAAGATGACAAGAGGGAGCTGTTGGTGCTGACTGCGACACTCGGCGTCACACTGCAGCTCAATAAGCTCCAGCTGCAGGTGGTCTGGAGCATCATCAGGGTCCACAGAGAAAGGAGATGAAAAAAGCGTGATCTCCTTTTCAATAGCTGCAAAATCCTGAAAGCGCTGTTGAAACTTCTCAGCCAGAGATGAGATGTCTGCTTCATACCTCCTTATTTGCGCACTCATATTGTTCTGTGAAAACTGGTCATTTCCTGCAGCGATGGGAAATGTGTGGTATCGGGCTGTGTTTGTGACAGGTGCCTTTGGAAAAGTAGCAGCTTGGTTCCAAAGGCTTTGATATGTGAATGCAGTTGGCTTACCACTGCATTTTGCCCCTGAAGGCTCGTGTTCAGCATGTTCAGATGTCGTGTTATGTCAACTAAAAATCCAAAATCAGCCAGCCAAACAGGATCAGATAGCTCTGGCATCGGTTGTCCCTTGTTTGCCAAGAATTGTCCGATTTCCTCCCTAAGAAAGTAGAAGCGCTGCAGTGCAGACCCCCGACTGAGCCATCTTACCTCGTTGTGATACACAACATCTCCGTATTCAGCCTGGATGTCGAGTAGAAACTGTTGAAACTGGTGGTGGCACAGGGCTTTGGAGCGAATATAATTAATAGCCTTCATCACCGGTTTCATAACATGATCATATTTCAGATGTTTGTCACAGAGAACTTGTTGGTGAATAATACAGTGGACTTTTATAGATTTGCCTCCTTCTTCGCTGACTTTGTTACAGACTAGGGTTGATAATCCACTTCGCTCACCAGCCATGGCAGGTGCGCCATCCGTAATAATCCCAGTGACTTTATTCCATGGTAGTTTCATGTCATCTACGGCGGAACAAACAGAAACAAATAAATCTGTTCCTCTTGTTTGGTCCTTAAGGCTCTGGAGGTCAATTAGCTCTTCACTCACGTTCATGTCATTGTCCACTCCTCTCAAAAAAATCAATAACTGAGCGGTGTCAAATGCATCCATGCTTTCGTCGCAGGCTAACGAAAAAAAGTCAAACTCCACTCCTTTTGCCTCTTAATATCAGATGAAACGTCTTCAGTTCTCCGTACCACAGTGTTACGAGCCAGGCAAACATTGGCAAACTCTTGCTTCTTCTCAGGACAAATTTTCTCCACCATTTTCATCACGCAGTCTTTAATAAATTCACCCTCAGTAAAAGGTTTGCAGTGCTTGGCAATCAGCGTTGCCACCTCGTAGCTCGCCTTTGTGGCATTTTCATTTGACTCACGGACTCTTGTGAAAAAGCGCTGCTGTGCCGTTAAAGCAGCTTCCAGTTCCTTCAATTTTTCGCCATGTTCGTTCCCAGATAGCTTGTTGTAGTTAGCATGTTTCGTCTGGTAGTACCTCTTGATATTGAATTCCTTGAAAACAGCCACAGTCTCTTGGCAAATTAGGCAGACACAGTTGTTGCGTATTTCAGTGAAAAAATACTCCAATTTCCACTTGTCCTGGAAGCGGCGGCCCTCGCTGTCAACTTTCCTTTTTTTAGTTACAGTCGCCATTTTAGAAATGGGCGCACAAGCCTTGTGTCGCAAGGGTCACGCGGCGAGAGTGCTGACTCAGGTCTACTGCCATCTTCTGGTGAAACCACCAGCCTTGAAGGGGCAGGAGGCAGCAGGGGACAGCTGCGGGAACCGCTGTGCTGTGAAGGGAAAAACGCCAGCCGGCGGGGATGAGTGACAGGCTGAGCCGGCGGGGAGAAGAGATTGCGGGCCGCTTGAAATTTGAAAACAGGCCACAATTGGCCCCCCGGGCCGGACTTTGGACCTACCTGACGTAAATGCTGCATATATTTCCTCTATGTCTGAATAAACTATAAATGTTCTTTTGATCGTACACCTCCAGCACACCTGCTCTCTTTAGTTTTTGTTCTCAGTATCAAGTGAAGAGGAGCTTTTCTCATAGAAATAAAATCACATGTAGAGGTTCCGTGACATGGTCTTTCTTACAACGAAATACCAGACAGAGGAAACACAAATACTCAGAAAAAATCATGGCCCGCTTTTTCCAGCCACGATGGCTTCTCTGATTGGAAGTTCATTGGGTGTGAAGTCTTGTTTTCTTTTGCAGGAACAGGGCCTGCTGAGATTGTAGGGTTGCCAGAAGAGTGGTGGCACTTCCTGTTAGTCTAACCTTGACATTGTGCGGTGGGTCAGGGAGCAAAGCAACACAGAGGGGAGAGGATGGGCCTAGGCAAGCAAAGAACAGCCCTAAAGGGAAAACACGAAGGGTGTGAAAGTTTACAGAGTGGAGGGGCTGGGGAGCCTCCTGATGGCAACTGGCAAAAGCAGAAGAGGTCCCTCACATGCAGCAGGCAAACGGCAAAAAAGAGGTGGCTGTTGGTGCGAGGAAGTAAACACTCATGGGATACAGATGGTGCCTGAAAGGCAATCAGAGGCCGGGGGGGGGGGGGATCAGAGAGTCATAGAACAGTCGAGTTGGAGGGGGCCATGAATAGCATTGGACCAAACCCCCTGCTGCTGCAGGTCTCCAATTTACATCGTCCCACTCAGAAGCCAGAGCAATCGCCATCCTCTGTCAGGCACTGTGCAGCTAGTTCCATGAACAATGAATCCACGCGGCTTATTTGCACATGAAATTTGAACTAGCAATTTGGGATGAGCAGTACTATTTGATATGTTTCTGATTTTAAAAAATGTTTCAAGATCAGCTGATGCCAAATAAATTGACTGAACATAAGATAGTTTGAATATGATAATTTGATACTGGGTAATAGTTTCCCACATACTTTCCCCCATTTATCATATACAGTTTGAAAGAATAACAAACAAGCCAGTTGCAGAATAACCCATAGTATATAAAATCCCCTTGTATTTGTTTCAGTATAAAAGCTGGATTGTACTTCATTCCATTATCCCTGAAATAAAATGTGCTAGCCACAGTGAAAGTCTCTAGTACTTAAAGTTCTATGCTAAAATTACTCCCCTTGTTCAAAACGATCAAAAAGGTTACAACATTCTATTCAACATTTGAACAATGAATGGATTTTCTATTTGGAGAACTTATTTCAGTGGGTTTTTGGGGAGGGGGAGTAGAGGGGGAAGAGAAGAATAATGGAATTGTTTAAATGTTGGTGCTGTTCCTTCTTCACTACCAGATTCAAAATAAACCCATGTGATTTATATGCCCTAAAGTGTTTTTGTATGAAGGGCAGTCTCATCTTTGTGTGGCATTAACCCTTCACTTCCCACTCTAGCTAGCGGACAGAACCATGCCGTGTCAATGCCGGCAATGTTACCTATGCCTAATGCCTCAGAAGCCTGGCCTGGTAAGGAACCTTGTGAAGTGTGGCATGTAGTCCACTGTGGGTTTTGAAAGCAGTACAAGGGCCTGCCTTTGTTCTGCATAAACCAAATGACTCTTTCGTCCTCCTCTTGGCAGGGAATTGTTAGGAAATGAATCCTCGTGGCCTTTGCTGCTGGCCTTTAGTGCACTCACAGCCGTGGTCCAGCTGGTGATGCTCCCTTGCTTCCCTGATTCACCATCCTACCTTCTAATACAGAAGGGCAACGAAGAAGCCTTCTTGAAAGGTAGGAGACCCCTTTGCAATTGACAGGACCTTGCAGGACCAGGCTGGGACTCCACCAGGCCCTGAGGGCCAGGCTTGCATGTGTGCTCAGGGGCGGCCCTTGAAAGCTCCTCTCATCTTCTGCCCTCTCCATTCTGTCAAAACCTGTAATCAGACTTTCTGCTGTCAGCGAGTGGAGGCCATGGGAAGCCGCCTCCAGCTGAATTGGCCTGCCCATTTCCAGCAACCAGGGTGGAACTGGGTTTCTGGTTTGTAAAGGGGGGACAGGTGTGCCACATGCCTGTTGCCGGGCATATGTGTGCATACATACATATCTAGGATTTTAGGGCCTACTCAAGTTTCACATTATTCTTTTGCCAAGTTCAATGATGTAAGTGCCTTCCCCAGAACAGATGCAACAAAAAGCCCCAAATAATTCTGGAATCCTTATAAAGGCAATTTAACAGTTTTTTCACTGGTCAGCGACTGCTGTTTCTGCAAATAAATCCAGTGTGGTTTTGGACTGACCATGCCTAGCTCTGTCTAAGCATTGACCTCGCACAGAATTATCACAAGACTTGCTACACTGCAGGGGTATTTTCAGTATTCATTCTGTATTCCTGTGCATAAATGACAAAGTTATGCCAGTGGACAAGAGGCAATGAACCTCAGCATGCCATGTTAGCAACGTGTTAGTTTCTTGTATTTATTTTCATGGTCATAGTGTCTCCTGTGCAAGATAAGTCATGGACGAATATACATTAGTTTTAGATTTTGTTTAATATTGTAGTTGCCTCACTTTATTTTAGCTACTTAGTATGTGAATGGTGAGAATGCAAGAACAAACATATTGAATGTGTACATAAATGTGAATAAAAATATAATCAAAGAAAAGCAATAGAATCAACTTTAAAGCCAAGTAGAATGGAAAGGTCTGAGCTACCCACCCAGATGAGCAAAGATGGGACCAAGTCCCGCTGCAGGAGGGGATTTCACAGCTGTGGTCCTGCCACAAAGAAGGCTCTTGTCCTGCACTCCCACCAGCCCAGCCCCTTTGGATGGTTGGATGTCCATGCTTAAGGCTGTATTAAAATTCTAACAAATTTCAGTGTTATCACTTGACTGTGTTGTTTTTTTGAACATAAGCAAAAAGCACTTTAACACACTTTAAAAATGAATTCAGGAGTAATACACATGACTAAAATAGCATTGACTGAAAAGGTAATAGTGAAGATGTGGAGAGGTGCAGGTGCATGGATTTTGTGAACTTTCAGCACAGACTGAACCATCATAGGGAAAACAGGAGAACAACATTAGATGACAATGTTGTATGTGTTCAGTTGTATTACACATGAGAGTAATTCCAGAGCAAACACCTAATGTGTAAACAGCCCTAATAGACTGGTCTCACTTTTGCTAACTTTCAGCCACACTTCATGTGTTAAGTGACTGACACATACACTGTGTGCATGGTAGGGCACACGGATAGATTCAGATATTTATTTTCTTCTGTGTCACAGCCATCAAGCAACTCTGGGGTGAAGGAGACCATCAAGCAGAAATTGAGGACCTAAAGAAGGAGAAGGCAGCTATGCCAAGCACCAAGCACTTACGGGTCCTTGAAGTGATACAGGCACAATCCCTGCGCTGGCAGCTGTATGTGATGATCACCGTCATGACCACGTTACAACTCTGTGGCATCAATGCAGTTGAGTCTTGCCTGTCTATGGTGGTAGCTGCTGAGAGTTGACAACCTGTTGGACCAGCAGCCCCAGAGAGAAGCAAGGTTCAGAGAACTATGCTGGGAAGGTTTCTGAAAGCCTCAGCCCTTCCTTGGCTTGTTGGGCATGGCCCAACCATCTCCAGGTTAAGGGTCAGGCATTCGGGTGAACAGGAGGCCCATGGGCAGGGGGCCAGGTGATCTAGCCCCTACTTCAAGTCAAGTGCACATTAGCAGTTATGTGCAGCCCCAGCACATCAACTAGCAGTGACTCTTTGTGCAGGAGCCTCACTCAAGGTAGGTTGCCTTCATATGAAAGCTAATCTGAGGCTGATGTGAGTTTCAAGGAATTGCAGCAGGAGCCTCCACTGACTCATGTGTAAGGAAATGCTGTAGCATGTGGAAGGCAGGCAGGCGGGCCGAACAGACCCTCTGCTGGCTATGTGTGCAGGCCAGCAGACGGCTCCGTGAGAAGGCACAGCTCTAATCCCATCAGAGCCTGAATCAGGTCTTGCATCATAAACCAGCCATAAGCCACTTATCTTCTTTTCTTCTAAAGAAGCAGACACCCTCATCTCCTTTCTGCCACTTTCAGATCTACTTCTACTCCTTTGAGGTCTTCCGCACTGCAAGGTTTGAAGAAGAACTCATCCCATACCTTGCACTGGGGGTCGGGATCTGCGAGTGCCTCTCATCTATCCTGTGTGTAAGTTCAGAGAAAAATTAGAGCTTAAATAAAAATTGAGGCCTTCCTGTCCTCCTGCCTCTTTTTGTACAGAAATGGGGCCGGGGGAGGTTGCAGGTGCTCTTTATACTATGTTATGCTTACATGTCATAAGCATGCTTACATGCTTAAAATGTTTATATTTTAAACATTAAAACATTCCAATTTTTAAATCTTTGTTAACTGCCCAGAAAACCTTAGGCTGTTGGGTGGTATAAAAATGAAATAAATAAATAAATCCATTTCAAAATCTACATTTAAAAAAAAGACAGAGCTTCAGGATTCTTAGCAGACTGTCACAGTATATTTTCCAGATCCTTCTTCAAGATTGGGAAAGAACTGCAAGGGAAAAACGGGATTTCTTATGCTAATGCCATGTCAATGGTATGCTGTTGAGGGGGTGGTTTTCTGCCACCAGAGGCAATGCATCGGCTCAGCTCTTCTTCGCTTCACCTTCTTGCCTTCCAGAGCTCCATCATAGAGCATTTCGGACGGAGGCTGCTGCTCTGGGGAGGCTACGCATCGATGGTCCTGGTGCTTGCACTGCTCACAGTAACCCTCTCCCTCCAAGTAAGTCAGTCTTTTGGGCCTGGCTGTGGGGCATGATGAAGCTGCTGCCCCAGGTGACAGTTCCTCACAGCTTCTCAGACACAAGGCATGAACACCAGCTCAGCACACACTGTTACCCAGAACCTTGACTGCCTTAGCAAGAGGCCAGAGTGCTGTGTTTTCAAGGCACCTTTTCTTCATTCTAGCATCGCTTCTTTTGGATGCACTACTGCAGCGTCCTTCTCATCTTCCTCTTTGTTCTCTTCTATGGGATTGGACCTTGTGAGTACTCAAGCCGTGGGCACAATGGGCAGGGACACTTAGCAGCGAGCACTGCACCAACACCTGGGGTACACAAGCAGCCCACTGGGGCTGAAGAAGCTGAATGGCTCTGCCTTACCACCCTACAGAAAGTACCCAACCATTGGAGGAGGAGAGGAAAGGACATGCAGCCGCTTGGCATCCCCAAAATGTGTGACCACCCCAATTCTGCGCCCCACAACCTCTCTTGGCACCAACACCGTGGGCTAGAACTAAGGCATGTGTCAGATCCTGCCAACCTGCTGTTTCCAGAAGGCTCGGATGAAGCCTACTCTTAGGCACCTCCAGAAGGCTGCCAATCTTGAGGACACCGCCATATGGGTGGGTGGTGGAACTACAGCTGAAGCCAGGTAGCAACAGGCTTTCAGGTCACATCCAGGGTACACAGACTTCCTCTCCCTGCCTCCAGAAAAGCATTCACCCTGAGAAGCATGCCTTTGTACAGGCGCACTGCAGCCCCCTGCCATAGCCACTGGAAAATCCTCTTGCCGGGGTACCTCGGCACTCTGGTGACCACCTTCTCAGCAAGGTGGCCACCATGAGGAACAGATTGTGTGCAACTTACTGTGTATTTACTTTTCTCTGCCTTCACCAGCTGGAGCCACCATCTCTGTCATGGTTGAAATTTTCAACCAGAACTTCCGCCCATCAGCCTTTGTCATTGTGGGCATTATCAACTGGATGGGCCTCTTTCTGCTTGGGATGATTTTTCCATTCACTGTGGTAAGAGATTCAACTAATGAGCAAACAAACAGCAATCACTGCTCTATCCAGTTCCAGCTAGCCAAATATTTGCAAACAATATGTAAGAATGGAATGCATGCATGTCTTTTTTTTCTTTTTTAAATTCTAAATTTTCCTTTATTTCTAATTTCAGGAATATCTTGGTCCCTTCTGCTTCCTGATCTTCATGGGAATCCTTGCTGCCTCAGGTGTTTTCATCTATCTATTCCTTCCAGAAACAAAGGGGAAATCCATTGTGGAAATTACAATGGAGTTTAATAAGTTGAATTATGGAAAGACTCACGTTTTTCCTACAGAAAATAATTTCCCAAATGGAACCAGCTTTTGCACCAGGCTTTAACTCCCCAGTTACAGAACCGGTATTTCTTGGAGGTATTGTGTTGCTGGTGTAGCATTCATCGAAGATGGAGCATTTCCAGTTCATTGTTTTGTCATTTTTGCAAAAAAGCTTCATTGGTGAAATTACCCTGTTTATATCCTATTAGCCAGAATATTTGTTCAAGCCCTTACTTCAGATGTGTTGTGGGAAGCTCACTGGGCACCCTAATGCTGGTTTTCCTTTTGTGTTGTGAGGCTAACATGCTCGGGCCCCAAAATGCCATTCGTCAGTTGTTGTCTCCTGGAAAGGCCTGCCCAAGCCATAGAACTGAAACTGCAGAGCTGCAAGGGAGGGAGCCAGCTCAGTTTCCATGGCCCACTCCAAAAAGCAAGGAAAGCCCTGGCCTGGCCTGCTCCAGCAGAGATGACCTGGCAGTGGTTGCTTCTCTTTACGTGACTATTTACTTGTGCTCTTTGCTGTGATAAGTACAAATATTGGCGGGGGGGATAGAGCATGTCAAATAAATAACACTAGTTAAGGGAGGGAGGAATAAGGGAGGAAATCCTTTCTTCCAAGGGAGATCCCTAATATTCTGCATGCAGCTGAAAACCGGACAGGTTGAAATGATAAACTAACAAATCACTGCTACATGTATCTGGGCCTCATAACTGAGAAGCCTGTTGGATTTGGATGAAATCTTTTCCCTTATTGCACACATAACAAGAAAACAACACAGGTAACTCCATCACCAAATTTACCTTAATCCAAACACATCTTACTACATAGGTACACAAGGACTGCACACTTGCTTAATACTAAACCTGGCGTGAGCCATGTTTCTCCATCCCAGCAATAATGGTCTCACCAGCCCTTCTTTGCCAAATGCCTCTATTTTACACACAATTCTCTGAGCATACACAAAGCAAAATGCTGAACCTTCTCTGACATTCTTCACCCAAAGCTTTCCTTATGAATCCACTTGGGCCACCCTACAACTCTGACAATGGACTGTCCTCAGGAGGCAGGAGTTCCCCCAGCCTAAAGACTCCTCACTTTGGAATCTTCTCCCTCAAGATGTTGCTGCTCTTCCCCATTCCAGCAGGTGGGTTGACTGGCCCCTTTGGCTGCCCTCGAACTCATCTCCCCCATAGCGGGCACAGGCAGGCACAGAGGGCCTTGTGGAACTGGGACTGTTTCAACTGTCATCTCCTTCAGTCATCTCAAGTCTGTGAGGGGCTGTCACATGGAGGTGGGGAGAGACCTGTTCTCTCCTGCAGAGGAAGGCAGGACGCGCTCCAACGGAGCAAAGCTCAGGGAGCCAAGGTTCCATTTGGGTGCCAGGAAGCACTTCCTGACAGTCAGGACCCCGAGGGTGTGGAATGGGCTTCCACGAGAGGTGGTTGAGGCCCCATCGGTGCGGGTATTCAAGGATAGGCTGGACATGCACATGGTGGGCATGTCATGAGCGGAGCCGGCTGGTTCCAGAGGTCAGACTAGATGGCCCGGGAGGCCCCTTCTGACTCACTCTGTTTCTATGTTTTCTTATCAGAGTCTGAGCTGTCAGTTCTGCCAGAAGAGGCAGCCTCCTCTGCACACATCTCATCCTCCGATCTGGAGGAGGTTAGTCTCTTGTGTGCAGCTGAGGTTCACCAGAACACACACACACACGACAAAGCCATGGCATGTGGTTTCCATGCACCATGGCTTCTTCCCTGGGGAAGGCTGTCAGGCAAATGCATAGTTTCCACCCTTCTGCCTCATTTCTCCCACTGATGAAGTATTCCAGCAGCTCCAGCAGCTGAAAGCTCCTCCCAGGATGCAGCACTCCTGCCTTCCTTGCCTGCTTCTTCCCAACTGGTGTACACACTCCCTTGGACATGCCTTTGGCCAACCATTTTTTCACTGCTCTACTAGAGGAACCACTTACGAGAGCAATACTTCTCCTCCCCCATGCTGCTACCCACACATGTAAGCATATCTGCCCTCTGCAGCATCCTTTCCTTGCTGCAAATCTTCCAAGGCTTCCCCGTGAGTAGGCCCTGCACATGCCACCACGGGCCCCCTTCCCCCTGCAGCTGTGCTCACAGAGGGCACTGGTGCAGGAAGGCTGTGCCCTTCCCCTCCCATGCCATGGCTGCAGCCAGTGTTGCCCAGTGCCCTGCACCCCCACTCCCAACAGAGGCTCCCCCACTTCTGGCTGCTCTGCCACACATGGGGGCGGCTCGGCCTGGCACCCCCTCCTCTGGGCCAGCCCACAGTGGGAGCACCCTCATCTGGCATTAACCTCTGCCCATCTTCACCCATTTCTACATGCAGCCCTTCCCACAAGAACTGCATTGCTGTTGCAAAACATGGCTTTATTTCTGCAGCGTTACTGGAACATGGACACAGGGAAAGGGCTGTGCCGGCAGGAAAGAAAGCCGTATGTTAATACAAGCTAGCCGTCTTGCTGGCATGAAGCTATGCTGCCCTACAGCTGGGTCCACATACGGTGCCCCCCACAGCTCCCCCCCCCCATGCAGGCATGCATCCAGGTGCTGGATGCCGATGCTGCACTTCTACTGCTCACTATACCTGGCACTGCTCCCTCCCTAACTGCATGGACAGATGGTTCTACCTTTACACACAGAGCTGGCTTGCAGTAATGCACCAGGGCAGGGGTCAGCAACCTTTAACCCTCAAAGAGCCATTTGGACCCATTTCCCACAGAAAACACCAGGAGCTGCAAAACGCTTTTGACATCTAAAATGAAGATAACACTGCATAGTTTTTTACCTTTATGCTATGTATAAAAAAACTATAGTGTGTTGTATTTATGAAATCAATGAACTGCTACAGAGAAAACAAATTTTTATTTCTGCATGCAACAAAAACATTTTGAACTCCAAAAAAAAAAAGATGCTGGGTTGAAAGTTACTTTCAAATAAAATACTCAGTGTCTGAGTCCTCCTCATATTTATGAAAGAAAAAGCTAAACTTATATTATCCATTAGCAGCAAACCAAACATGCCACCTGCAGCAAACCAAAAATGCTGTCTGCTTCTGTGTGCCCTCATCCTTTTATCACGTGGTGAAATATTGAACAAACATCCCTCTCCCAATGTAATAATGTAGCTGGAATTTTATAAGAATCTTAAAACAAAGAAGTAGATCTATATCTTCATTATGATTTAGCTGCAGCTCTTGTTCAGTCACAAAAAACTTATTTTTAATCTTACATTATAAACTAGTAGGATTCCTTTCATATATTTTGAATAGGAGAACAGCTTCCTGAAGAGTCAAAGTCAGTGCTAAAGGGCTGCATGCATTAAACAGCAAACCCCATAAGTTCGTCAGCAGTAAAAGCAAATGAATCTACCCACGTACCATTAAACGTTCACTTTTCTTCAGAAACTTTTCTTCGGATTTATCCATGGTTGGCGGGGGGGAAGCTCCAAAGTAAAGCCAGTTGCAGATATGGGGGTGTTCAGTGACTGATTAGCAGATAAACAGTCAAGTAATGTGACTTGTGACAGGTCCCAAGCGCAGCTTTTAACATTCAGATGGAGATTACATTGGGACAAAGAGAATCTTTTCATGTAACAGGAGAGCTGCAGGAAGCTTGTTTAGCAGAGGAATGCAGCAATTTACTTAACTAGCTGGTTTACTTAACTAGCTAGCGCTGTGTTCCTGAGTGGCGCTGTTTTGAGCGACGGAGCCGCAGCAGGGGGGTTCAAGAGCCACGTGCGGCTTCGGGGGTTGCCGACTCCTGCACTAGGGGCTGTGAGAGCTGCTTGGGGTGTTGGGGGGGGACCATCTGCACCAGGCCCCCATCCACCTCCCATCTGTCTGAGGCTGACAGGAAGCCCAGAGAGACACTAATGTAGCTCCTGCCAGGAAGCGGGCTGGCATCCAGGCTGGGGCAGAAGTGTAGGACTACTGCTGGAACCTCTACAGTTCTCCCAGATCTGCTGGGGAATTCCAGTGTGGTTCTCCTGTGCCTCATACCTAGCTGCAGGGAGATAACGGCTGGGCTTGTTTACAGTCTCAAGGAATGCAAGGGACAAGACAGGAGTGGAGGAGAGCATGGCAGCAAGCATGGGGGTCATGGGCTTCTCAGGGCAATCATCCTGTTGGTGAAACCCTGAATGTAGCCCATGTGCTCCTCTCATGGAGGGGAACTTTGCAGAGAGAAGAACAGTATTTTTTTCCGTAAAAACAAAGGCCAAGCAGTTCACACACAGTGTTTGTGTGAACTGCAGCAACCAGATAGGAGAGCCAAATACAGTTGTCTCCCAGATTGCTCTGGAGGCAGTGCAGAAGGCTTCTCTGGTGCCAGCAACATCCCAAAACTGCAGGTGGGCACCTGGAGAGCAGTGGAGAAACCAGAGGTGTGAGGGAGCATAAAGCAGCCAATTGGAGTGAATCTGGAGCCAAGACATCAGTTGCTTGGCAGAGCTGGTGTTCTGCCAGCCAAGAATCAACAATCAACATGGTGTGGAAGCATGAGAAGGACAGATACAGAGTGTGCTTACACGCTTAAGTGTACGCTGACAGCCACACTTGGGTGTCACAAATGGCATATGGGAAGATGTATTTTGCTGTTCCCACAAGGTGCAAACCAAATCTTGGTGAAATTCCCTGGATGGATTTCATCACCATAAGTTAACCTTGACTCCATTGCAATACACAATTATTCTCTATAAATCGAGATCACTTGGCACCAGCAAACAGGAGTCTCACATTAAAACGAGGCCTGCAAAGAGCTTGCACCCTGTGGCACTGGATATCTGCACCCCAGAAGAACTGAGGAACCAACATATGCACTAAAATTAGGCACAACTTCCTGCACATCCCGTTTGAAAGAAAAAATGTGCAAAGGATGCACAAAAGGAGGGGGGGTGCTGTCCACCCCTGAACTCCATGCAGGCCTAAGTAACTGACTCTTAAATGTTTGGTTTCTTGCTATCTTTCGTTTACGCTAGTCTGCTAATCTGGGTGCCTCTGCTTATGCAGCTACAAAATGGCACCACCCCCACACAACAGTGAGGCTCACAGAGGCTGAGGAAAATCTAAGGTAGGAAAAAATAACACGTGGGGAGTATCTCCAGACTAAATGAGGATGGAGCATGCTTAACAGAGAGAACAGTTGCTGCAAGTGGGGTGGGAAAATAGGAAATGGGTAGGAAATAGAGTATTCTGGAAGAGAGCATGACCGGCCTGTTGAGAAGTATTCCATGCTGCAACATTTTGCTACAGGTCCCACTTGTAGATTCACCATTGTTACTATATTTTATTGTATTGATTTTCTACTGTACACTGCCCTCAAATCCAATTCATTAACAAGTTACTTATCAATGTTCTAAATGTTAAATATGAATGAATTTGGAACAAAAACTTCTGAGGAATCAAGGTAAATGCCAAAGAGTAATCAAGTTCTACACACCGTAAGAGAATACTATAATACTGTTGTCCATGGAGCCTTCAGTGTATTCAGTTAAGGGGTTTGAGGCATAAGTGGTGGTTGGTGCAGGTGCCAAACAGCGGTAAAAAAAAATCTTCCTTTTGAAAAATGTTTACTTTGCACAATAAAATAGTTATTATAAGATCTGAGGAATATCACGAATGCTAAACTGTTCCTTCCTCAAAGATTTTGATGTATGTTCACTGTGGGTGTAATTTTGGTTAAAGCTTTTGCCAGCTATAGGCTAGATGAGGCTGTCCTTGAGCCTTCAAGCTGAAGAGAAACTGGTCCCTAAGATGTGATCTCTGTGAGTGTCCAGCCCAGATGTCCTTCTGGGGACAGCAAACACTGAACTTAGCCAGAATCTATGTGCCATTTCAATTTCCACTCCATAACACAGAGACATGACTATGGTCTCCATAGGCCTTGTTATGCCTGACTCCCCAGGATCCTGACATAATAGAAATATCTATCAGCTTTCTCAGAGCATTCAGGATAGGCATGACTCCTCTAGGCTCCAGATAGGCATGACACGGCCAAACACTAGAATAATCAAACTGTCTCAGGGTATGCATGATAGGCTTAGCTCTCCTAAGCTCTAGCCCATTCAAATGTCTAGTAACTGCCTCAGAGAATTCCCCTCGGAAAATGGAAAGAGCTTACCTACAACGTAATGGGCAAAGATTGCCTAAAAGGTGTAAATTAAAAGATAAAACTTACTGCTAATCAAATCTGCTTCTGCATATCGCTTGCCTAACTGCTGCTATGTGATTTTGTAACTTCCCGTTGTCGCCATTGTTCTGATTTTTGTCAAAAACTGATTGTATTGTTTCCCATTTACCGAAAGCTCACTGTGAAGCTATAAAAACCTCATTCCAACTCTGTTCAGGGCCGCATTCTAACCATGAATGTTGGCCCCTGCAGGTAAATAAACTCCTCTTTATTTTTACCAACTGGTCTCTGGTCTCATCTGCAAAACCGCGAGTTACAACAGGCCTCAGTGTCCACCTATGACCCAATTCAGGGTAAACATGCTGACCTGGTGTGGATAACTGGAACCTGGCCCTGGAAAGGGGCAAGATGTAGATCCCTCCCAGAGATGCCTGTATTCCCTATTCTATGTGGTTTTAACAACATACTGAGCACATGGAAAACTCCATGGGATACAGTCAGGGATGTGATGAAGGTGGAGAATGTGAAGGCCACTTGGTCACCAGCATTGCCAGAAAGCAGGTACAATAATCTACTCTCACTTGCTGTTGATCCTGTTTACTGTGAAATATGTGCTCTCTGCCTCTTTTCTAACCCCCACTTCCTTAATAAACTCAAGGGCCAGACCTCATCATGCTACAGTGATAGAAGCACCAGCCATGTTAACTGAACATTTCTCCCTCGGATTATCCAGGTCTCCCGGGGCCGCCGATCTTAAAAATTTGCCAGGGGCGCAGAGCAAGCAGCCCCTGCAAACCTAAGCCTCACCAGGAAGTGCCCTGTCAATCCACACCTGCAGCCTCACACTCAGTTGAAGCCCCGGCTTGCCATCAGACTGTAGGCACAGCGAGACGCCCCAACAGCCTGAGCCACAAATACTGAAATCTGCCCGCGGCAACAGTGTTGTGGCTTTCCAGCAGCACTACAGATTTCACCCTGGACAGATGGCAAGGGCGACAGCAAGGAAACCACACCAGCAGGATCCCCCTTTTTATGGCTCAATGCCGAGGAGTACAACACTCAAAGGTGATAGGTGTGAAAGGATGATTTGAGACAAGGGAGTAAAAGAGATTTAAAAAGGTAACGAAGAAAATTACTTAACCCAAAGGAGGGGAGGGGCTAAAATCAAATAGCGCAAGGTGTGGGGAAACAGGCACATAGGCAGGAGGGCCAAATACTTCCCGATTGTTTATTGACAAGCTGGGCAGAACAAAATGAGCCTCTTGTAGCCCACCGGGGGCAGGGCTGGACTGGGAAGAAGGGCCGGTGTTGGGGCAGCGCGGAGCAGGCGGGCGGAAAGAGTGTCCCTCTCAGTGCCCTATTAGCCAATTAGGGGAAAGGAGGAGGGAACAAGCGGCTGGGAGCAGGGTTCAAAAGGGTGTGTGAACAGGTGCTCAGGTGAACAGAAGGATGGGAAGGAAACCGTTCCTTTCTGTTCCCTTCATTGCAATAAAGTTTTAAAAAACTCTGCATGCCTGGAATATTTTTCTCTTCCGATGGAAAGGAAAGAGTGTTTTTTAACAAAGGCACGTCATGGGCAAGCTAGGAAGGAAGAACAGCTCCTTGGAGAAGAGAAAACGCCCCCCCTCCCCGGGCCACACCAGAACCACTTTTCCTGTTTAAAGCATTCTTGCTATGCCCTTCCAGCTTGCCAGAACTGATACTTGAACAAGAACCGGGAGGAGCAGAACCGGGAGGGTCCCGCTGAGCTCGCCCTGAGCAGCGAACCTCAACCTCGGGCAGCTTGCGTAGGCCTGGAGGCGCTGGCGGCTCTCCGAGAACAGGCCGCCTGCCTCCGCGCCATCTCGAACAGGCGCTTTGGCTGCTCTTCTCTTCGCCGCGCAACCACGGCGGCGGGGCTCCGGCTCCGCAGGGGGCGATCGAAGCGAGCCTGGAGAGGGACGCGGCCCACCCTAACCCCAGCCCAACCCGCTGCCCGGGAGGATGCTGCCTCCTCGTGCTCGGCGCGGGCTACGCGGCGAGGCGAGGTCCCCGCAGCAGTGCCGCACTGTCAGGTCGCTGGCCGCCCGCCCGCGCCGCTGAGCAGCGAGCCCGACCCCCCGAGCCCTGCAGCGCGGCCCGCGGGGCTTGCCCGCGCCGCTCTCCACGCAAGCCCGCGCCTCGGCGGGGCGGGGCGGGGCGGCTACGTGCAGCTGCGCTCGGCCGCCCGCGCCGCGCCGCGCCCCTCCCAGGCGCGCTCCCGCCGGCGCGCGGCTCTCGGGCGCCCTGCGCAGCAGCCCGCCAAGCAGACCTGCCGCCCGACGCGCCAGGAGCGGTCCGTGCTGCGCGCTCGCTGCAGCCATGCCGATGCTCGTGGTGAACACGAACGTGAGCCGGGACGCCGTGCCCCAGGGCCTGCTCGGCGAGCTCACGCAGCAGCTGTCCAAGGCCACCGGCAAGCCCGCCCAGGTGAGTGCTCCGCTCCCGCGGCGGCCGCAAGGAGCTCGCTCCGGCGGGCAGCGCCCGCGCCCGGATGGATGGCGCGCGTCTCGGCCCGGCCCGGGCCCTGGTGCCCGAGGCGGCCTGGCGAGGAGAAGGGACACCCCGCACTCGCCCAGGGGCTTTTCGTGTCCAGGTCATCCGACTGTGGGCACGCCGTGTGGCAGCCGCCCTTTGCTCTCTTGGCCATAGCGGAGTTCAAACGAGCTCTGAAACTGAAAGGGAGACGCTGGCCTTTGTGTCCCGAAAACGCCGCCGCTAAGGAAGTGGCCAGAGGGATGGAGCTACATGTTGCTCGAGGGGACGGTTCCCATGGCCAGGAAGCCCAGGAACGGCGGTGTCGACCCCTTTCTAACCGTTCTCATTTCCCGTAGAGCTTATCTTTTGTAAAGCCTTGCTTGCCTGCCCAGGTCCAATACTATTGCATCTCTGCAGGGATAGCTTGCCATAAAGGATTGTTTCAGGGGGAATCCATTTTCCTACCTGCTGTGAGGCTTAAGAGGTCCCTGCTAATCAAAAATTCCCTGCAGAAAGCATACCTCATGGTGGGGGACTGGGGAGGAGGAAGTAAAAGAGACTAAAAAATAATTTAAAAAGAGAATTTCACCTTGCTCGGAACTGCATTTTAAACTTTTAGCCTCAATCTCAACCTTCGTGTAAATCAGTCCAGACCAGAAATAAAGCACATTTCTTTGTTGACTTCTTTCACAGTACATTGCCATCCACATTGTGGCTGACCAGCTGATGGCCTTTGGGGGTTCCTCTGATCCATGTGCCCTTTGTAGCCTACACAGCATTGGCAAGATAGGTGGGCAGCAAAACAAGACCTACACGAAGCTACTATGTGACCTGTTTACTAAACACCTGCATATACCTGCTGACAGGTAAGATGCAATCCAAAAGGCAGCAGTTCTGAATTGGGGCTGCCATTTCTTACGGGGGGGGGGGGGTGTTTCCTTGCTTCAGCCTTTCACATGTTTGGACTAAGTTCCCAGAACCCCTGACCATCAGCCCTGTTGGTAGTGCCTGTCTGCTCCACAACATCTGAAGGGTACCAGAGTGGAGGAAGTCTGCTTTATTTGGAAGCTAGTAGAACATGAGTGTGAGCTACTTTTAGCCCTGTGGTGTGGCAATTTCCTTGGTCTCATCTGCTGCTTTCTTTTACAGGGTCTACATCAACTATTATGACATGAATGCTGCAAATGTTGGATGGAATGGGTCCACCTTTGCCTAGCAGCCCCACTTACGAATGGAGGCCCTGTGAGCCCGCTGTCACTTGTGCCCTTCAGTGACCACAGCCACTTTTCTCTCCGAATAGTTCTTGCATGTGCTGCTGTAGTAATGCCCCTTCATCTAGCTGAAAGACAAATAAAAACATAGAAGCAAATCTGTGTGAATGTCCAGTGCCTGTGACAAGGGGCCAGTGCGGCATTAAAAGGGGGCACTGCAAAGGGATGGCAGGCTGGGAAGCATACATGAGGTCTGGGGCACATGTGGTGACAGCTTTAAGCATGACTGTCCTCCCTCTGTCCTTGGGGTGCTTCTAGGAAAGGAGCTTGGTGCACTGGCAAGGCTAGGAGCCAGGCAGGCCACATCCCCTTTACGCTGCAAGTGAGGCAGTAACAGTGGTGCACTCCTAGCCCACAGACGAAGAGCTTTGTGCCCAACCCCACAGGCATGTGGTACCAGCTTGGGCTGAGCGAGGCAAAGGATTCGGGAGACCCGAGCCTGGCTGGGGCAGCAGCGTTTCCCCTGAGGTGGGGGACACCATGCGGCCCTCCGGGCTACTGAGCTCCAGCACAGAGGCGAAGGAATCCGCCCCTGGGGCCGCCGCCGCGGCCGAGAAAGCTGCGCCGCCTCTTGGCGGCGCTTCCCGAAAGGTCCTGCGGCGCTAGAGCGCCGCCTAGGAGGACTGGGCCACCATTGGGCGGGCGCGGCCGTCCCATGATGCGGCGCGGTACCCCTCTTGGATTCAGAAGTCCTGGTTGGCCGGCTGGCTGCGGTGAGTGGGGGAGGGACTCGGTTGCCGCGGTGCTGTCCCGGCCTTTCCGGCGCAGCCTCCACACGTCATCAGGGAGCGCCGGGGAGCCTCGGCATGGCGCTGTTCCTCGTGCGCAGGTGAGGGGTGCGGAGGTGCCGCGAGACGGGCGGCAGCGGCCGAGGGCCCCCGGCCTTGGCCCTTCTGGCCGCCAGCGCCGCGTCTGTCGCGAGGGGCAGCGGGCGGAAAGCCTCGTGTGAGGCGCAGGCAGTGGGTCCTGTGGGTTCTTCATTAGCTTAGCCGCAGCCCGCGGTCTCTGACTAATACGAATTGCCTGCCAAGTACGTGGACAGGTGTCTGGAAAAGGATTGTTTAGGGTTTTGTTTATTAGATTTATACCGCGCCGTCTTCTTTTTTTTTTAAGAACTCAAACCCACTTACCCTGTGAGGTAGGATAGGTTGAGAGTCTGTGCCTTACCCAAAGTCACCCAGTTGGTTTTTAATTACTACGCCACACTAAATCTCATTAAATTATCCCTTTTCTAAACCTCCTCTTTTCAGGTGGAAGTACCTCTTACGGATTTCAACCTCAAAAGCTAATACACTTGCAAGGTTTCATAATTCTGCAAACGTTTTTCAAGGTGAAAAGCCCCAAGCACGACAGTGTCTTTTTACAGGAAAGTCGTCTAATTCTTTGCCTTTCCATTTCCACTCACTCAATCTTCCTTGGGATGATGCTGGATGCATTTGAGCCTGGCTAAAAATTTGACTAACCCAAAGTTACCTAAAGAGTTACATAGCTGAGTGGTGACTAAAACTAGGATATCCTGAGTCCTAGTTCTTCACTCTTAACTATTGCACCACACTGACTTTCAGGTGTAGGAATTTTTTTCTATCTAAACACGCACAGGATTGCACCCTTAATACTTTGGTTATGCTCACATACTCTAGCAGTAACAGTAGCAGCCTGGCTTGGGTTAATTTAGAGGAGGGGCTGCTGCATTGGGCTGTGTACCTGCAGATGCTTGGCTTCTAATGAGAAACCCATGTGAGAGGAGTTATTCCAGGGCTGTCTAAAGCAAGCCATGGGTTTTTTCAAAGAACCCCTGCTGCTTCTTATTGCATGATATGACACCTCACAGTGAGGTATTATATGGGAATCGTAGAGTTGGAAGGAGCCATGACACCAGTTTACAGCAACCCACTCCAATGACTGTCCACTTTCTTTTTGAATGTCTCTACTGTGGGAGAGCCCACCACCTCTCTAGGCAGCTGGTTCCACTGTTGTATTGCTCTGACAGAGAGGAAATTTTTCCTGATATCTAGCCTGCATCTGGGTTGTCACAACTTGACTTGATTTTTGTGTATCCTACACTTTGGTATGAGTGAGAAGAGATCTTGACCTTCCTCTTTGTGACAGCCTTCTCAAGGCTAAACATGCCCAGTTCTCTCAGTCTCTCCTCGTAGGGCAGTGTTTCCAAATTCTGGATCATTTTTGTTGCCGTTCTCTGTACCCTTTTTATTTTTTCTGCATCTTTCTTAAATCTTGATGCCCAGAACTGGACACAGTATTCCAGATGCAGTCTGATTAGTGAGGAGTATAGGGGAACTATAAATAGCATTTACTTTATTGACAGGTGTATCACATTGTTGGCTCATATTTAACCTGTTGTCCACAATTACTCTGATGCATTTTGCTTTTTGAGCTCTGTTGAGTCACATATTCCCCATCTTGTATCAATGCATTTAGTTTCTTTTTTCTAGATGGAGAACTTGGCATTTCTCCCTATTAAATCTCATTCTGTTGCTTTCAGTGCAGTGTTCAAGTTTATCAAGATTGCCCTTGATCTTCATTCTGTCTTCCAGGGTGCTCACTATTCCACCCAGTTTTGTATCATCTGCAAATTTAATTATTTTTCCTTATTTTCCTTTGCTGTGAGCTGTCCAGAGACAAAAGTGATTGGATGGACTAGAAATATCCCAAATAAATAAATAAACACTTCTGCATATAAATCATGACTAAAGATGCTGAAGAGCACTGGGCCCAGGACTGAACCCTGCAGCGTTCCACTAGTTATCTCCAGTTGGCAAAGGTGCCCCTGATGAGCACTCCTTGTGTCCGATTTAGCAGCCAATTTTTGGATCCACCTAATAGTTTTTCCATCTAGTCCAGGTTTTGCTAATTTTCTTATTGGAATGCTGTCGGGTACTATGTCAGAAGCTTTGCTAAATTCTAGGTAGATTATATCCATAGAATTCCCCCTGTTTATCCACAGGTACATTAGTGAAGAAGAGGATGAGCAAGAAGAGAAATCGCAAGAACTTCTTCATCAGCTACAGGAACGAGCAAGAGCCCGGGAGTTGCAAAAACAGCAGGATGTGCTCGTTTCTTCAGAACAACGGGGACTAGAGAATGAAATTAGTGGACTGGACTCTGAGCAGAAATCAGAGAAGAAGAAGACAAGTGAGGTATCTTTTTTTGAAATAAGCCCTAGAAAGAGGAACAGAAGACTACATGTTGATGAGAAAAAAAGCTTGGATGAAGCAAATGGTGGCTTTGGTTCAAGTAGAAGGAAAAAGAATGGAAAAGACTCCCAAGTGGCCCAAGGAAGGATAGAAGCCACTGAAGGTAAAACTGGGTGGCTAGAACTCAGGGATGGAGCCTGAGTCAGGCTTCTTTAATTGCTGGGCTGGGCTTAGTCTGCAAAATGCTTTCATCCCTGAACTAGGTCACTGTTCACCTTTTGAAGAGCCCCAAGCATCAATTGACACTATGCCTTGGCTGACTCTCATAAGTAGCAGGGGGCTGAAGCATATGTGCAGCATAATATGAGAGGAGCTTCCCCAGGCGAAATGCAGCCAAAATGTTCACCAGTTGGAATTTCTGCATCTCCAAGTGTAGCCTGCTCAGTAATGTTACTTAGGTATCTTTCACAAGTTCTCTTCCTCCATCTCCTATTGCTTGCAGGTAGACAGCTGCTGGTTCTGGCTCTTCTCTTGTATTGTTCTAGTTAAGTGTAAAGTTGGCAGCTGTCTGCTTCTTTGGCTTTATTGATAGGTACTTTGGGGACTCTTGGGAAAGACCTCCACACTTTCGTGTGTTTTTACAGTTCCTTCCCACATGGATCTCCTTTCCCACCACCCACAAACTTCTTTTTTAATTTCTGGGACTGCTACAAGTAGGGATGTGCAAGGAATCTGCTTTGAGTGGAAATCCTGCTGGATTCCCTGCTTTTGGATTCTCAGACTCCGGTCCATTTTGCAGTGGCCCAGAGTTCAAGTTCCTGATGAGCACACCAAGGGCTTGTGGGATGCTCACCAAGAACTGAGCCTCACATGTGCTGCACATACAGCACCATTCTTCCACACCTGGTGCTGGCAGTAGTGAGCAGGAAAGAAAGTTGGCTGCCAGGATTGGTGGCTGGTGCACCTTCTCGGTGTTCTCCCTTTCCCTGTGCTCCAGAGACAGTGAGCAGGAAAGGAGTTGGCTGCAGGAACTGGCAGCTGGGGAAGGTTCCTGGTTACACAACTGGGAGTCTGAATGCTAACGGACTTCTTCCAGGCTTGCCTCACTTCTGGATGAGCACCAGAAGAAGTCCGGCAGGCAGGCTTGAACCAGATTCTGGAGATGCTTGGTATATCCCTAACGGCAAACAACTTCTTCTGTATATGTTTCTCAGCATGCCAATCATTTGTCTCTTTTCCAGGAAATGCAAGTCAGTTGGTGAGTTTTTTGGAAAGCAGAGGAACAGGAGCAGGCGAGAGAAAGGATGATCTTGGATCAAAGAGAAGTCAAGGCAGAGAGAAGCAGATGATGCTGGCACCAAATCCAGAGGAGGGAAAGCCTCCAGCTTCTAGCATGGCTTTTCTGGGTCACTGTGCTCAAAAGACTGTGCAGAAGGTAATTCACTCCAGCCTGAGAGGCTCCCACCTTTAAAGGTGGTCTAGACATAATTTTGATAGAACTCAGAGGCAGGAAATGATAGTTGGTCTGTGCTAAACCTTACACTGCACGCAGTTCCTTGATGTCAATTGCAGTGAAGTCACCTGCTGTGAAGCAAAATAAGATCAGACGGCAAGTTGGGCTTGGTTATTTCTTAGGGTACAATCTGATGACATCACAAATCATCCTGTGCCTTTGGTGCTGGGATTCTGAAGGCCCAGCCCCTGCCCGGCCACCTGCAGAGCCAGCTGGGAAGGAACTGAACTAGCTACCTCCCCAAGGTCACTAACTGATCGCAGAAGGGAGAAAACAAAGGTGTATTGGGATGGGAGAAGGAGAGGCTGAAGCCAGCAATTTATGCCCTGTTCAGGGAGTGTCCCAACCTCTTTCCTTCCCTCCTTGCATTGCTTCATCTAGAGATAAAGAATGACTTTTTGATAAAATGCATGGTGTGAGGTGCCACAACAAAGGTCCCTGACACCACCACTCCATTATGTGTGTGAATTTCTCTGTTGCAGAAGAGGTTCTACAGTTCCTAGCATGCCTATCCAGCTTGGATGGCTAGATGGAAGGTGGGAGTAGAGGACATTTGCCTCCCTAAATATGCACAGGATTGCATTATTCACATCTCACCATGATCATTCCTCTTTTCCTGTAACCAAGACCATACTTTATTAGCCCTAAATGAAGACTGAGTCAGGAGAAAACACATGAAGAAGAAACATTGTTCAGTAGGAGACTGGGTGTGCTTTGCCTTCAAACTGTCCAAATTTCCTGTGTGGTTCTTTGCCTAATCAATGGCTCTGTGCCTGCAGTTTTCAAGATCATCCACAGTTTCAGTGCTTCATATACATGTGTGCCACCTCTTGTGCCACTTGTCGCTTCAGGGGCCCTCTCTTCTGCCACAGTGGCTCGCTCAACCCAGGCTAGTCCAGAGACAGATTAAGGAGAACCTGACCTCATTTGAGGAAGTCCCATTAATCCATCCTAAATTGGTGAAGAAAATGCAAGCAAATGGAATAGAATCTTTGTTTCCAGGTATTTTAATAGTGTGGAGGGTCACTAAATAATAACTTTCTCTTTTTTGTGTTTGTATATTTAAAGTGGCCATTTTGGGGGATGGGCAATTGTTTGTGACTAGTTTATGGGCTTCCTTGTTCTCTAAATGAATGCTGATCAGAGTTCTTGGCCGAGGTGCTTCTTAAGGCCTCCTCTGACCTTTGTGCAATGTTTCATGTGGGAACAGGCTTGATATTGAGTGTCTCCTTCTTGGTAACCAGTTCCATATTAGATATATAAAAGGAGCTTTTTAATATAGTTTTTTTGGTTGAACTAGGAAAGTACATCTGTATCAGGGTTTTTGCTCTACTGCCTGCCTGTAGGGTTAGGTATGAATGTGTATCCATCTGCTGTTCTGCAGTTAGTTTCACATTCTTTCCAGGTCTGTGCATCCATTGCTGTCTCCATTTCTGTCTGTGCAGATGAAAGAGAAGTAGTTTCTGTGCTGAAGGCATATTTTAGGCATTTATTGAAGACATCGGTTCGCTTTGACTTTCATCAACCATGTATCTGATGTTTGTTTTGTTGTTCTTTCCTATGCTGCCTTAGGATTTGTTTCAAATTGGAAGTGATATGTAAATACTGCTAGCAAATACCATGTTATCTAAGAACCTGGTCATAGTTGTATGAATGCATATAAGAGTGTAAGGATACTTCAGGATGCCTATTTTAGGGGTTTTAGTCTTTAATTTTTTCTAGTAAAGACTGAAATCCCTCTAAGGCTACATCTTGGTGTCTACATGCCAGTGGTAAATGAGGCCGGTCCTTTTTTAAAATAAAATTTATTAAACATACAGACATAGAAACACCAAGTCAGAAGGGGCCTCCCAGGCCCTCTAGTCTGACCCCCAGCTCCAGCCGGCTGCACTCATGACATGCTTGCCATGTGCATGTCTTGCCTATCCTTGAACACCCTCATCGATGGGGCTTCCTGTGGTATGGAAAGCCCATTCCATACCCTAGCGGTCCTGACTTTCAGAAACTGCTTCCTGGCATCCTAACTGAACCTTGATTCCCTGAGCTTTAATCCATTGGAAGGCACCCTGCCCTCCCCTGCAGGAGAAAAAAGGTCTCTATCCACCTCAGCATGACACCCCCTCATGTACCTGTATGTTGCCAACAGATCCCCTCGGGAGTCTCCTCCAGGCTGAAAAGACCCTGTTCCCTCAGTCACACCTGATACAGCTTTTCCTGCAATCCAGCCACCATCCTTGTGGCCCTGCGCTGCACCAATTCCAACCTGGCTACATCCTTCCTGTAATGTGGAGCCTAGAACTGAACACTGTATTCCAGCTGCGGGCGCACCAGAGTTGTAGAGAATGGTAGTAATACCTGTCTCTATCTAGAAGCCAAACATCTGGCTATGCAACCAAGGGTGGCATTCACCCTCTTGACTGCCATGTCACACTGCTGAATCATGTTTAGCATGCACTTGACCAGTACCCTGAGATTTTTTTCCTACGTGCTGCTCTTCAGCCACTTGTCCCCTAACCTGTACTTATGACACCCATTCCTATGCCCCAAGTGCAAGACCTTGCACTTCTCCACACTGAACGCCATCCTGATGTCTCCTGCCCACTTCCATAGTCTGTCCAGATCCTTTTGCATCCAGAGTACCTGCGTCTCAGTTGTAACTACCACCCCCATTTTAGTATCATCTGTGATTTTGATCAGCAGACTTGTCACCCCCTCTTCCAGGTCATTGATGAAAAGATTGAACAGGATGAGTCCCAGGACAGAGCCCTGGGGGACCCCGCTTGTCACTGATGATTCCCCACTAATGGTTACCCTCTGCTTTCGGTCTGCCAACTATGCCCTAATCCATTGGACAGTTCATCCCAAAACTCCTCAGTTTCTCCACCAGGATATCATCTGGCACTTTGCCAAAGGCCTTGTTGAAGTCCAGGTATACCATATCCACCACATTTCCTCTGTCTAGCCACCTTGAAACCTTGTCATAGAATTCCACAAGGTTCATTTGGCAAGATCTATTTTTGCAGAAGCTGTGTTACATAGCCACCAACCTCCCTTCCCTATCTAGGGTTACTAGATCTCTCACTATTATGAGCTTTTCCATTGTGTTTCCTAGAATGAACATAAAGCTAACTGGTCTGTGATTCCCCATGTCCCCTCTACTACCCTTTTCAAAAATTGGGATCACTCATGCCACCCTCCAGTTTTCTGGAACCTCGCCCGTTCTCCATGAGGCCTCAAAAATGGAGATATATACCATGTTAGCCTCAGGAAGGAACACAAAGACTATGCACTTTGCAGGTCACTGCCACTGGAGAATCTTTTCCAGCCATTGTGTGGTCTAGAATAAGGACGTGGAAATGTTGATTTATTGATGCAGGCCACTGTTCTTGACCTGATCAGTTGAAGTCTGTCTTCTGTGCAGTGATCACTTCTCAGAACTCCTCAGGCATATGCAGATTATCCTTGCTGCAGTTGAGGAGATTGGCAGCCCCACTCCTGAGTGCCGAAAGGTTGCTGCAGGGCAAGGGACAATGGCCTGCAGTGAGGACAGCTTAGCGGATTCTTTCCTTAGTTCCTGGAGAAGGAGGTTGTGTGCTTGCTGAAATAGGGCCTGGCTGCTTCAAAAGGCAGGATGACTCTTCCAAAACCGGTGTATTGACCATTATGGTAGTTGGCTGTTGTTTAAAGAAGAAACTTAAGTTTTCTCTAAGTGGTCAAGGAAAGTCCCACTTCTTCCTCTTGATGGGCTGGTTGAATCATAGAATAGTTAAAAAAGCATCAAAGAAGATTGTGCTGATCTTTAACCTCTCTTTCTTCAGTTCAGGCTGAGGTGATTCCAGTCATCTTGGAAAGTGTGTCCAATGGATTTTTGGCTGGGAGGGGTGGCTACCGGCCTAGTGATATCTGTGTCTCGGCCCCTACAGGCAGTGGGAAAACACTGGCCTTTGTCATTCCTGTGGTGCAGGTGAGCACTGAATAAAGGATAAGGTTGCTGAATGGTGTAAATATGTTATCTGTGTCAGAGTCATCTCAAAGTCTACAGCTTGAACAGTGTTGCACTGTGGACTGACACAGAGGCACTGGGATGACCTGAGTAAGTTCTCTTCTGCCAGAGGAATTATCCTTGAACTGTCTGGAGAATGAGTGGGCACAAGTCCTGAACCTTCAGGAAATGCCATCACTTTTTTCGGCTAGCTTCAACACAGGTAGCAGTTTTCATGGCTTTTCTGGCTGCTGGCCAAGCAACTGCAAGCATCTGACTCTCGTCCCTCATGCCCTGCTGGGGCATCTGGGGCCAAACTGCCCCAAGAGGCATTTTTCAAGTGTAGAGCGGTTTTCCTTTCTGCAAGCATTTTCTGAAAACACCTGGGCCTGTTCACATGTCAAGAAGCTCAGCATGGCTTAATTTACCTATGGGGGCTAATGTCTTGTGCTCTTTTCCTGTGGACAGTATTTTTTACAGTCAGTAAGTTTGCCATGGTTTGTTACATCATGTGAGCCCAGACAGTGGGGGTTGTTTGAGGGTTGTCTAACCTCCAAAAAAACCCTTGCCACCTCAATTTGCTGAACACAGCAAGCCAGCAAGGCAAAAATGGTGCCTGTAGTAACCTGGCATGATACAACAGCTCTTGCAGGTTAATCAAGCCAAGGAGCATTTTAGCTGTGAATAAGCCAGATCTTTGTAGGCTGTCCTTTGGTAGCCAGGAAGGAATCCAGGCCTTTTCCAGCTGGGGGAATATGAAGGAGCATTTCAATTTAGTGAGCAAGAGGTAGCTATCCACCTGATTTCCTGGGACAGACAGTGAACAACTCATGCTAGGTCCCATTCCCTCCCCATGCTGTTATTCCAGCGCCCTTCTCAGCATTGCTCTTTTCTTCCAGTCCATCTCAGCCTGTTTTGCATCTTGCATAACTTGCAGAGTTTTAACCTTCCAGGATATAAAATCTTGAATGGTTAACATTGCATTCCACGTCTCTTGGATAAGAGTTGTTCAACTGAATAGCAGGGAACGAATCCAAGCTGTACGGTGGCAGGTTGGACGATGATTTGGGAGGGCTCTATAAAAGGCCTTCTTGGTCTTTAAGATGATGGCCTTTCACACATTTTAAAGGTGCTGTGTTATGTTGCTTTTTGCATGCCATTTGTGCAGTGTGAGATCAAGAAGCCCCATGTCACTTTCTGATCTCTGGTCTTTGTTTTGGCAGGCTCTGTTAGACCGAGTTGTCTGCCAAGTGCGAGCCCTGGCCGTCCTGCCCACCAAAGAGCTGGCGCAGCAGGTACATCCCTGAAGGGAGCAGACCCTTTGGGCCTCTGTTGGGTATTAATCAGGAAACAGGTTCTTGTGATGTGTCTTTCTGTCCAAATGCTACAGGATTGGGTTGGTGATTTATAATCGTGGCATGCTGCCACCATGTGTAAGATGGGTTGAATGTTAGGAAAGGTTGGTTTGGGAATCATCTTTTTTGTGTGAACAGCAAGGCATGGAAAGAGAAAATGGCATGAATCCTCCTGGCGGGGGCCAGTCTGTCAGAGTTCAGTGGCCTGTTAGCCTTGCGGCAGAGTCTGTAAGCAGCCCCACAGATTAGGGCTAGTCAAGTTTGTTAGGATTACTTCATACTTTAGATTCACCAACATTAAAAGAAAGGGACGCCCTATTTTTCTGGGAACGTGTTTTAAGTACTGAAATGGAACTGATCCCCAGTCTGTCACACAGGAAACCACTTCTCTTTACCACAAACTTTCTTTGTGTTAGTAGCCCAAGTTAGGTGGAAAAAGTCATGTTCTTGCTATTGTGAAATAACTGGGAGTCAGGACCCCTGGGAAATGGTTGCAAATCACCCAGAGACCTACCAGCAGATTCCACTGAGCAGATTGCTTAAGGCAGGAGCCAGGTGGGCAGAAGGATCCTCCGGCTTTGATCTTACAGGTCTCTGATTCACATTTTTCTGTAGGTGAGTAAAGTGTTCAACGTCTACACTGATGGGCTGGGGCTGAAAGTGGTACAACTTACTGGACAGAAGTCTTTTGCAAAGGAGCAAGAATCACTTGTTGAGAGGACGTGAGTTAAGCTTCTCTTTGGTTTGCGTATTGATTTAATCCTAATGTCTTGGGCTATTAACTTTGTCAACAGGAGATTGCAAAAATAGACTCTTCATAGCCAGAGCAAATAAGTTCTCCAGTGCTGCTACCCTTTAAAGACTGCTTGCAGAGGAGTACTTCAGTTTTTGTACCTTCAAGCCACACCTGCAATGCTTTCAAGACAGGCAGGTCTTGGATTACAAAGGAGTTCTATTCCTGAGAAAACAAATTTGTCTTGAATTTGAAGTTGAATTTGTATGCAAGTTGGAACACATATAGTCATCCCTCTACATTTGTGGCGGTTAGGGGTGCAGGACCTCTGTTAAAGTGGAAAAATCACAAATATCTCTAGCCCCACCCTTACCCAAACTCGCCAGTGCCTCCTCTTTGCAGCAAAGAAATGCCAAAGAGATTTCCCTCTCCAGATGGACAGGGCAGGTGGCTGTCCTTTGGAGGCTTCCCTCTCTCCCTGTTCACATCCTCTCTGTGGTAATGACAGTTTTCCACAGGTTTTTTTTTTCTTCAAGTAATAGGCTTTATGGCAGTAAGTACATGTTGTTTGTAACTTAGGCATTCATAGCTTAGGGACTGTTTTAAGCTGCCCTGAGCCCCTGCAACAAGATGGGAAAGAGATCCAACTCTGAAAGGAAGCAGCCCCTGACCTGGGGCCCCAAAACAATGAAATGAAGACTCAACAGAAGATGCTGCTCATTACCTCTGATATTTCATTTCCCAGGCTGACTGGATTCCGCAGTCTGGCAGACATTGTTGTAGCCACTCCTGGGCGCCTTGTGGACCATCTCCAGCAAAGCCCCCAGTTCAGCTTGAGAGAGCTTCGCTTCCTGGTGAGGAGAAACACTTTTCTTTCCCTGTCAACATGCTGGGTTTGTCCAAGTGCCCAGCAAGCCTCTGCCTGTTCAGGCACCAGCATGGAGTTGTTGGTTTGACTTGGTTCCTTCACTATGTCAGTCTTTTCATTCTCAGTCTCCCAGGTATGGAGAATAGGGTGGGGAACGGTCTACCCCCAAGATCTGTTTTCAGTGGTTTTGAATCAATTAGAAAAATCAAAGCTCCTCCATTGTTGCTATAAGACAATCAAATAAAAGAACCTGAGAAGGTGGTTTATTAGTTTTTCATCCCACAAAAACAAATCAGACAACTGATTCCCAGATTCCTACAAGAGTTTCTTTTATTTTCTTTTACTTTCAGGTTCTAAGTTTCATTAAGGGAGGCAGCTGCCATTTACTGCACAGCTGAAGGGAGATGGGGTGATCAAACAGATGCTTAGATACCCTTCATTGGAATAAATGGGAATTGAAAATGCTTTGCTTTGGCAGAATCCAGACAGCCTCTCCTGCTGTTATTTCTCATAGATTTATGACATTGGAAGTTTCCTGTAAGGTAGACCTATGTTGATGGGGGGACAGGGTTTTCCTTCCAGCCCCAAGCATTTGCATGCATTTGCTGGATTTCCAGCAGTAAACCACTACAGCCAGAATGGCAAGTCCCAGGCCAAACTCCTTCAGGTCATCATTGCAATCTTTCCTCAAAGCACTGTGGCCCTCCCCAGTCCTTGTCATGACAACCCCAGCTGTGGCGACAGGGTGACCCTGGAGGCTATAGGCACCCACTACTCAAGCTGTGCTTTGCCTGAAACCTTCTTTTTGCTCATTTACGTGTGGTTGCAGATCATAGATGAAGCAGACCGCATAATCGACAGCATGCAGCAGGACTGGCTGCAGCAAGTTACGAAGGCTGCCTGTCATTCTGAAGAGGAGATGGGTCCCATCAGGCTTTTCAGGCAGGTGGGACATGGGCTTCCCATCACAGCAGCCAGGTAAGAAGCTGGCCATGCCTAGTTTTGATGGGCAGGGTGGGCAGAGCTGGGAGCCCTGGAGACTGAGTGGCTCAGGGCCAACCTTCTGATCCTGGAAGCCCCCCTCCTTCAAAATTCACACCTTGGAAAGAAACGGGGGGTTCTGCTGAGCCCAAAGGCCATCCCTGCAAATATGTCCATTGCCCCCATGTATGGGGTAAAGCAGGCCTGAATGGGGGCTGAACAAAGAACAGCTTTGAAGGTCATTTGTTTGGAGCAGCTGGGCTCACATTTGTACATTCTTGGGCATTCTCTTTTCCAGGTCTTGCTGTCCATATCTCCCTCTGCAGAAGCTTCTCTTCTCAGCCACTTTGACTTGGAACCCTGAGAAGTTGCAGCAACTTGGCCTTTATCAACCATGCTTGTTCATGCCAGTCTCCTCTGAGAAACAGGCTGAAGTCCAACAAGAACCTGAGAAGAAATACACTATCCCTGAGGGGCTTTCAGTAAGGAGTGTGGCTTCTCAGGACCATGTGATCTGTTTATTGTGTTTGTTGACATGTCTGGTGGGACAAGGAAGAGCACTGGGCATGTGGTGGAAGACAAAATGCCGTGCCTCTTCAGGAAATTCTTCCCAAGGCCTCCGTTTCCACCAAAGAAGTCACCTATTTGAGGAAGCAACCTGTAATTGGGGCAGGGGGTGGAAAAAATCCTTCCTTTTTGTCAGGAGACTTCTTGGACCCAGAAAAATTACACAGGGCATCATGTCTAAGAAATCCTTTGGGAGAGAGGGGAAAAGTAGAGAAAGGGTCGTGCTCAATTTATATAGTTTCTATCCTGTACCTTCATCTTGTTCCTAGACTGGTCAGCAAAGTAGTAAGCTGCCCTAAATTAGTGCAGCAAAGTGAAACTGTTTGTTTAAAATGTTTATATACCATCCTTCATTTAAAAAATCCCAAGACAGTTGGTTTCTGGACATTAACGTTGGCTCCAAAGAGCCACATTTTCTAGCTGGTGATTTTGTGACAAGATGAATCAGGAAGAATTATTATTATTTATTTATTAAAAGCTTTTGTATGCCATCCTATTATACAAGATCTCAGGACAGCTTACAATATTTAAAAAGACAATTAAAACAACAGTTTCAATAAATCAAGCAGAACAAAACAAATCACAAAACAAACAGAGTGACTAAACTTAAAAACTATTAAAGTTTAAAATACTGTTTAAATAAAAAGGTTTTGGCCTGGCGCCGAAAAGAGTATAAACTTGGTGCCAGGAGTACCTCTCTGGGGAGTACATTCCAGAGTCTGGGCGCCACAGCAGAGAAGGCCCTACTCCAAGTTGATGACCTTTTTGCCTCTCTTAGAGAGGGTTCCCGGAGTAGGGCTTCTGCAGATCTTAAGGGCCGTGAGGGCATATAAGGAAGGAGACATTCCTTCAGGTATCCTGGTACCAAGCCATTTAGGGCTTTATAGGTCAAAACCAGCACCTTGAATTGGGCCTGGACTTCAACTGGAAGCCAGTGGAGGTGGTAGAGGACTGGCGTTATGTGAGAATGGCTGGTGCCCGTCAGCAGCCTGGCAGCTCTTTTCTGTACCAGTTGCAGTATCCGGACCATTTTCAAGAGCAGCCCCACATAGAGCACGTTGCAGTAATCCAAGCGGGAAGTTACCAGAGCATGTATACAGTTTCTCAACTGGTAACCAGTATTTGAGGTATTTAAACTCACTGCCTTGAAGTGTAAAGTAAATTACAAGTTCCAAATTAATATCTCTTGGGTTGCAAAGAATATATCCTACCTCATCTTAAAAAGTTAATTGGAAACATGGTTCCTTGCAGAGGGCATATGAATATCACTAAGGGAAGGAACAAAAATGTCAGCCATTTAGAATATAGAATCCTGCCACGGGATTTGCCAAGAAACAATGGAATGAGCTGGGCCAGACAATAAGAGCTCCAGGGCCAAAACTGTCCTTTCTTGTCATCTCTAGCAGTACTATGTGCCCTGCAGCCTGAGTTGGAAGCCACTGTTTCTCTTGCATTTTCTTCTGAGGCTGAAGTTCTCCCGCGTTCTCTGCTTCACCAACAGCAAAGACACTTCACACAGGTGATACTTTGCAGTAGAGCCAGCACCAGGCAGGACTGGCTACTGCCTTTCATAGGCCATGGATCCTAGCTCGGGATCACTTAAGAATGCTGGCAACAGCTTCCAGCAGGGCTCTTTCCCAACTCTACTGGGGATTGATCCTGGGACTTCTACTCAGCCACTGAGCTAAGCTTCCTTCCCTCTACTTTACTCCAGGCTGTTCCTGCTGATTCGAGCCTTTGGTGGAGTGAATGTGGCTGAATTTTCTTCTAGGCTGAGTCCAAGCCAAAGAAAGCGGACGCTGAAGGAATTTGAACAGGGGAAGATTCAGCTGTGAGTGTCTTCAGGGGGACTTCTGATATCCTCATGCTTGGAATATGTCAGGCACCTACTAATTCAGTTCCATATTGCAAATCTGCAAACTTGTCCATTGGTCTGAGAGTAGAGGGTTAGGATGGTACAGCACAAGAGGTGCAGTTGCTGCAATTAAGAGCAAGGGCGCTAAACCTCCAGGTCAAGACTTGTGGGCAAAAATGCCCATGCCCCTTTCATCCAGTCACCAGTGAAGTGGTAGTTTCTCAGCTTTTGTTCAGCTTTCCAAACGGCTGAAATACCTAATGACAGTAAGAGCTTAAAGGTAAAATATCCTGGCATATTGGGCCCACTTCTTGTCTTTGGCCTCACCCACCACTAGAATGTGGCCCTTGGATGGAACCAGGTGCCCTTCTCCTGCTTTTGAGCCAGGAATTGGTGCTGCAAAGCTGGACAAACAGGAAGCATGCCTGCTTCCTTGAGAAGTCTCTTCCCAGCTTTGGTACCCCCAGACCTGTCCATAGATAAGTTAACCAGGCCCAAGCAGCTGCATGTTGTTTGTGTTTTGCTGCACTGTTTAGGTCCTGATGAGCTGAGGTGGTGTGTGTTTGTGTGTTTCTCTGAACAGTTTGATCAGCACAGATGCCACCGCTCGAGGGATTGACATTGTTGGGGTAAAATGTGTCATCAGCTATGATGCGCCTCAATTCATCAGGACATATATTCACCGGTAATTTCCTCTGAATGAAGCTGTTTCAAGTGACTGAGACGGGTTGATTCTTTCTCGGCAGCTGGGATGGGACTGCACAAACAGTGGTCATGTAACTGGGCCACAGAAGGAATGTGGATCCACTGAGGCTGCGTGGCCTGACTGCTGGATGCTCAACTGCCCCCCCCCCCCCCAAGCACTGCACTCTTCTTGGTCTGCATCCAGCATTTATTTATCTATTGTCTGTCTGTCTGTCTGTCTGTCTGTCTGTCTGTCTGTCTATCTATCTAAAGCATTCCTTCCCATCTGTTTTCAGGGTGGGCAGAACAGCCCGTGCTGGGAAAGCTGGCCTGGCCTTCACCATGCTGCTGAAACAGCAGGTATGTTCTGGGGTGGGGGGGTGTCTCCACTCCTGCCCGTGAGGACCCAAACACTGCCCTTTGGCCGTCATGGCTCAGCATGCGCTGCTTCTCAAAGGAGATTGAAATGTGGTGAGACTTGGCACACAGGAGGCCCAGGAAGGAAGGCGAAGAGTTGCAAGTGAAAGCCAGCTTGCCAGGGCCTTGTGGGCGCTGAGGCTGCGTGGCCTGACTGCTGGATGCTCAGCTGTCCACCCACCCCCTAACACTGCGCCACTTGTCGGGTCTGCATCCAGCATTCCTTCCACTGTTGCAGATCCACTGTGCCAACTGGAGTGGGAATGATTGGGGAGTGGGTGTTGAAGACCTGATGTTCATCTGCCTTTGTTCTCTAGGAGCGCAAGTTCTTGAAGATGCTGAGGGATGCTGGCCTTCCAAAGTTGGAACAGCAGCTGGTGAAGAGCAAGTTTATTCAGCCTCTCCTTCAGCCGTACCAGGAAGCACTAGCTGAACTGCAGCAAATTGTCAAGGTATCCCTCACAGACAGTCCCTGCAGTGTTGGAAGAAAGGTGTTCTTCACTTGAGATTGTGGCTAGCTAGTCAAGATTGTTGCATAAATCAGCACTTGGAAATACCTGTTTCCACATCACCATGGCCAGTAGGAATTACGTCTTGTATTTCTGCTAGTCATGGGATGGGGGGTGGGGTGGGAAATGCTGTCCAGTCCCCTCTGACTACAGACGGCCTGCCCACACTTCTCTCTGTCTTCTGTGTTCACTCCTGCGGGCAATTTTAGAACTATTTTTTGCAGCCCTCAGGCTTGGAAGTTTGACTGTTCCTTCTTCAAAGAAAAAAGTAAGCAGGAATCACCGCAATCCTGAATTGCATAGCTGGCCCAGTTTTTGCACTTCAGATCACAGCCACACACAGCCCTTCCAGTTACATTTCTTCTTTGTAAGGAGGTAGATGTACAGATGCCATACCACCCGCTGACTGTATCCCTATCGGTCAGCCAGGAGGAACCAATAGGCTGGAGTCTGCAGTTGCGAGATTCCAAAGTCCAAGTGCAGCTGAGCCCATTCTGGCACTTGGTGCAATTGAGAGAGACTCCTGCCTCCATCAAGGGATCTTAACTTCTGCATGTGCAACGGGGTGGTTGACATTTGCCATGGGAGTTGAAGCCAGGAGGTACGGACTATCCAAGATAGCGAAGGCTGATCTAGCTAACAAGCAGAAAGACGAGAGGAGGGTTAAACATGACTCCTGGCCGCCTAAGAAACTTTCCTCCTCCAAGCCCTTCTTTCTCTCTCCCACAGTTGGTTTTTGTGCAGAGCTAAGGTGCAACTGGCCACCTTTTTTAGCTGTGGAAACAAGAGATTTAAATATTGTTCGCATTACCTTTCTGTACTTTGTTTTACTGTAATCATTTTCAGGGGCACAGGCCTGCAGGGGGAAGTGGGGGGAGCTGTCTGCATCCATCGCTCAGGTCTTGGGCTAGCTTGAATTCCTCTTTACCTCAACAGGAGGAGCAAGCTGAGAAAAGATCCTGAGGCAGCTGAAGGGAGTGGATTCATGTTTGGAGAGGAGGTGGCAGAGAACAAACACAGATGGAGCGCAGCTGGAGTCGTGATTTGGACCCTGCCCTTCTTGTGTCTATAGCATTCCAAAGCAAGTACGAGTGATTCCAGGCACCCTGAAACATCAAGAAGTGGTCCATCCCGCAGTGGAAGTACAGCAGGTTGCCATTCCCTGCTCCTAGAAGGCCATTATATTTAGATGAAAATGGTTCTTTAACTCAGCCCAGCCTCTTCTTTGAAGTGGTCCCTACCCTCTTCAATTTTGCTTGATTAATTGGAGCTTGCTTGTTCTCTCAAGAAAGGATCACATCTTTGCTGTACCACCTGCACCCAAAGAGGTGTTTCTGCAGCGTGGCTTGTTCTTCACCCAGGGATGCCTTCAGCAGCTGAGATGGCTGCTCCAGTAGGAGCCCTCTCTTTACAAAGTAGAGGAGGCGACCCTCAGACATGATTTATGTCAAAATGTGGCTTAGGCTTTTTGTGTTTTTAAGGAATGCGATGGATTTTGGTCAAGAGTGATCTTGTAAATGAGACAAAATATTAACTGCTCTTGAACCCTGAGCACTCAAACACAGCTCTGTTTCTAGATGTGTCGGTAGCATGCTGGAAGTGGTGTATTTCAGAAGTGAGTTACCTGTGAAGAACTTTTTGTCATGCCTGAATCTGCCAGTCAACAATTGTTTGAGCAGTCCTAGTAGGGAAGCAGGAGAAAATAGTCTCTCTCATCCTTTGAAGGTTTTATCATGTCCTAGTTTCGATGTCCTTTTATTTAAATTAAAGACCCTGATCCACTTGTAGAGTAGTAGTTGTGTTTTTATACCTTCTTGGCTCCAGGATATATTTTTGAATATGGAGGAACCAAAGCCTAGGCAAATGCAGTTAGGCAAGAGTCCTGTCATAGTAAAGACTTGCATTTTCTGAAAAGTTACAGTTTCTACGCGTCAAGGCTCTTTGGATTTTGTAAAGTCTTTGTCTTTCAGTCTCTCCATCTTATTTAAATTGTAGATCTGTGTACTGCTGCTAGGTGATTATTTTGGCTTTTGCTTGTATTTTATGTTGTAGTTTGATTTTTTAATTAATAGTGTATTTTATATTTTTAAATTGTGAATCATCCAGAGCGCTTTGGTCATTGGGTAGTGTAAAGGCATAGTAGATAAATAAAAAAAGTAAAAACAATACAAACTTAACAATTGATAAAATCAACAGTAAAGAACATTAGGTACACATATTATAGCAATAGTTAAAATACTTTTTAAATGTCTGGAAAAATGGAAATGCCTTTCTTGAAATAACTGCAAAGAAGGTGCTCACAAGTCATCACCCCCGACTCTCAGTGTGTAGGTGAGTGAAGATCTTGGGGCACCATTTGAAATACACATCAAAAGCAGGAAATAGTCCAGGATGGCAGTTTAGTCATTGGATGATGAGATAATTAAATGAGCATTAAAGGGATTATTAGCATTTGCCTTCACTGCAGAAAACCTAGGGCAGGTACCTGTGCTACAGCAAATATTTTCTGGAAGAGGAACTGAGGCCACAAGTGGTGAGAAGAATGGAAGCTGTAGACTTCACAAACAGACTGAAGATAAGTCATTGGCCATGATGGTGTTCAGCCATGAGTTTAAGAACTGTTTGAAACAGTTTGTGACCGGGTCACTTGGCTGACTCCCTTCTGTCCCTTTTGGCTGCTGGCACCTGCAGTGCAGCACCAAAAGCCTGCCACACGTGCCCCCTTGAGGTTTTCTGCTGGCTCTTGGTACCGTCTAGGCCACAGGTATATATTGCTTTTGTGTGGTTTTGACAAAATTATTTGTATTTTTTGTGCTGTTTTATTACTTATATGGTTTGTTTTATTGTTGGAGGGCTGTCTTGGGAGGGCTTTGAGTAGGTTAGAATGTAATAAGAAAAGGCAACCAAGAAGTACTTTGAATTAATGTGAAGTTGCTGAAATTAATAACACAAGTATTTAGCATGTAGTAGTAGTTTCCCAATACTAGTCAGACCCCATTGGAAATACTGTGTCCAGTTCTGAGCACCAAGATTTAAGAAAGATGAAAGGGTCCAGGGGAGGACAGCAAAAATGATCCAGGGTTTAGAAACACTGCCTTGTGAGGAGAGACTGGGAAAACTGGGCATGTTCAGCCTTGCGAAGAGAAGACTGAGGGGGAACATGATATCTCTATAAGTACCTCAACGGCTGTCAAGGTCAAGATCTCTTCTCGCTGATACCAGAGTGTGGAACACAGAATAATCAAGTTGTGACAACCCAGATTCAGACTGGACATCAGGAAAAAGCTTCCTCGCTGTCAGAGCAATATGGCAGCGGAACCAGCTGCCTAAGGAGGTGGTGGGCTCTCCCACACTAGAGACATTCAAGGTGAAACTGGACAGCCATCTGAGTGGGTGTAAATTGGTGTCCTGTAATAGCAGGAGGTTGAACCCGATGGCCTTCATGGCCCCTTCCAACACTATTATTCTATGATTATATAGGCAGAATTCAGCTGAGGCAATGTAGAAAGTGTTCCTTTTGTCCAATTGGGAGGTTACCCAGTCCAAAAATGAGATTTAATTAATCTGACATTAAATAATTAAAAATAGGATTTAATTAAAAATTAAATTAAAAAATAGGAGTTTTTATCAATCCATGCTGACTTTTATTAATCACTGCATTTTTTTCAAGATGCTTGCAAGATGGATTTTTTATTTTTCCAGGAATTGATGTCAGACTAACTGGTCTGTAGCTCCCAGGTTCATCTTTTTTCCCCTTTTTGAAGATAGGGACAACATTAGCCCTTCTCCAGTCATCTGGCACTTTTCCTCTTTTCCAAGATTTATCAAAGATAATACCCAGTGGTTCTGAGAGTTCCTCTGCTAGCTCTTCTATGACTTTGAGATGGAGTTCATCAGGCCCTGGAGATTTGAATGTGTTTATTCTGTCTAGGTATTTCTTGACCATTTGTCTGTCAATCTTGACGTGCCATCTCTCACTTCCAGCTTGTACTTCCTCTTGAATGCAGATTTCTTTGTGGGAGAAGACTTAGGTGAAGTAGGAATTGAGCACCTCTGCCTTTTCCTTGTCATACGTCAGCACTCTGCCATCCACCTTAAGTAGCTGGACACCCTTCTCTTTCTCATGGCTTTTGTTCTGGATGTATCTCAAGAAGTCTTTCTTGTTGTGCTTAGCATCTCTTGCTATTCTCAGTTGATTTTCTGCTTTGCCCTTCCTGATGCTATTCCTGCAATTCCTTGCTATTTGTTTATATTCTTCTTTTGTGGCCTGGCCCTGGTTCCACTTCCTGTATATGTTCTTTTTTTTCTTTCAGGCTGTCAATTAACTTTTTGTGTAGCCACATGGACTCCCTCTGCTCTCGCCTACACCTTTTTCTTAATGGAATTGTTTGTAGATGTGTTTGGAGAATTTCTTTTTCAAGATTTCCCACCCTTCTTGAATGCCTTTCCCCTTAAGGGTGTGTTGCCATGGCACTTCACTTACACTTACCATTTTTCTGAGTTCCCAGCTGTCTTTCCTGAAGTCCAGGATACATCCAGTGAGCCTTTGTCTCCTTTATAATTGAGAATTCAAGTATTGCATGGTCACTTCGCCCCAAGCCTTCCCATAGTTGTTATTTTGTCCACTAGGCCATTCCATTCATCCATCCATCCATCAAAAGCTTTTCTATCCTGTCCCCTACAGAATGTCTTGGGATGGTTAATATTAAATCGAGGATAGCTGATCCTCTCATACGTTCCTCTACTTTCTGCTGGAGAAAGTTGTCAGCAACACATGTCAGGAATCTCTTGGAGGGACCATGCTTGGCAGAATTTGCCTCCCAGCAAACATCAGGGAAATTGAAGTCTCCCATGATGACTATGCCATTCTTTTTGGAAGTGCTGGCAAGTTGCTTTTTGAAGGTTGCATCCTTGTCCTCTTTTTGACTGGGTGGTTGGTAATATATGCCAATAATTATGTTTTTCTTATTTTTGCTCCCTTTAAATTTAGCCAGATGCTTTCAATGGGGCTACTAAGTTCCTCTTTTTGTATTTCTCTGCAGATATATATGTCTGTTACATATAGTGCAACTCCACCTTCCTCTTTGTTTTTTCTATTTTTCTTAAACAGGTTGTGTCCATCAATTGTAGAGTTCCAGTCATGTGAGTCATCCCACCAAGTTTCCATTATTCCTATGAGACCGTAATTGCCCTCATGTACTATGAGCTCAAATTCGTGTTGTTTGTTTCCCATACTCTGGGCACTGGTGTAGAGACATCGAAGTTCATTCTTGCTGTGCCCTGGTTTTCATCCTACATTTTTGGGAGCCTGGTGTTGGCCCCTGCTTGAGGTTTTTTCTCTGTTGAAGTACATAAGTCTCTGCTAGGTGATGGTGTGCCATGCTGCACATCTCCCTCCCCCACAGGTTCTAGTTTGAAGCCCTCCTGATGAACTTTTTCATGCAGTGGCCAAACGCCTGCTTCCCGTTCTTTGTGAGGTGCAGCCCGTCATTTGCCAGTAGTCCGTCTTCCAGGAAGCTTAGCTTGTGGTCCCAGAGTCAGCTTGTGGCCCCTACCTGAATCCTGCCAGCTCCTGCTCCCATTCTTGTCTCTAGTCTGCCCTCTCTTCCCAGGCATCTGCACCCATCCTCCCTGATCTCACCTTGCTCTAGAATATGACTGTTTTTCTGGATTTTGACCTTTGTGCTGTGCTCCTGAATTGTGTAATCTCAGGCTCTGTTTGCCTGGATCTGTTGTCTAACTGGCTTTTTACCATGGACTGCTAAACAAACATGCCTTTTGCCTCTGGCCAACCTGTGTACTGGTCCCAGTGTCTTGACCACAGTTGCTTGCTGCTCACGCTCTGAACTTTAAACAGGCATCTCCCCTGAATGTTCTGCAGTGAAGGCAGAGAAAAAATTCATTTAACTTCCAATTCCAATGGTCCAATAACCTCTCCACTTCAGTGCTCCCATTTTAGCCCCAGGGTTTCAAGCTTTTGCATACAAAGAGCTCAGCACAGCATCCTTCTATGAACACATGCAACTTTGTCCTAACCAACTGTTATCATGTGTCACTGCCACGCTATACAACTCTGGGGCACCTGCAACTGGAGTGTTGTGTTCAGTTCTGGGCTACACATTACAGGAAGGATATAGCCAGGTTAGAACTGGTGCAGTGTAGGGCTACAATGATGGTGGCCGGATTGCAGGGAAAGCCATATGAGACAAGAGTGAGGGAGCTGGGTGCTTTCAGCCTGGAGAAGAGGAGACTCTTCTGAACAATCAGAAACTTCCTCCATCCACTATTTGTTGCTAGTCGTGAAGTCATGTCCGACCCATCGTAACCCCATGAACAACATTCCTCCAGGCCTTCATGTCCTCCACCATCCCCCAGAGTCCACTTAAGCTCGCACCAACTGCTTCAGTGACTCCATCTAGCCACCTCATTCTCTGCCATCCCCTTCTTTTGCTGTCAATTGTTCCCAGCATTAGGCTTCTCTCCAGGGAGTCCTTCCTTCTCATTAGGTGGCCAAAGTATTTGAGTTTCATCTTCAGGATCTGGCCTTCTAAAGAGCAGTCAGGGTTGATCTCCTCTACGACTGACTGGTTTGATCGCCTTGCAGTCCAAGGGACTTGCAGGAGTCTCCTCCAGCACCACAATTCAAAGGCCTCAATCCTTCGGTGCTCAGCCTTCCTTAGGGTCCAGCTTTCACAGCCATACTTTGCAACTAGGAAAACCATAGCCTTCACTATACACACTATTGTTGGCAGCATGATAGCTCTGCTTTTTAGTATGCTGTCTAGATATGCCATAGTTTTCCTCCCAAGGAGCATTAATTTGCTGGCTGCAGTCCCCATCTGCTGTGATCTTGGAGCCCAGGAAAATAAAATCTGTCACTACCTCCATTTCTTGCCCATCTATTTGCCAGGAAGTGAGAGGACCAGATGCCATGATCTTAGTTTTCTTCATGTTGAGTTTCAAGCCAACTTTTGCACTCTCCTCCTTCACAGGCATCAAGAGGCTCTTTAGTTCCTCTTCACTTTCTGCCATTAGAGTGGTATCATCTGCATATCTGAGGTTGTTGATATTTCTCCCTGCTATCTTAATTCCACTTTGTGATTCATCTAGCCCTGCCTTTCTCATGATCTGCTCTGCATATAATAGACAGGGCGACAGTATACAGCCTTGCTGAACTTCTTTCTCAATTTTGAACCAGTCAGTGGTTCTATGTCCAGTTCTCAATGTTGCTTCTTGACCCGCATATATGGTTTCTCAAGAGACAAATAAGATGGTCTGGTCCTTTAAGAATTTGCCACAATTTGTTGTGATCCACACATTCAAAGGCTTTAGCATAGTCAATGAAGCAGAAGTAGATGTTTTTCTGGAACTCCCTAACTTTCTCCATGACCCAGTGTATGTTGGCAATTTGATCTCTAGTTCCTCTGCCTCTTTGAAACCCTGCCTGTATTTCTGGTAGTTCTCAGTCCACATACTGCTGGAGCCTAGCTTGTAGGATTCGGAACGTAACTTTGCTAGCATGTGAAATGAGTGCAATGGTGCGGTAGTTGGAACATTCTTTAGCATTGCCCTTTGGAATTGGAATGTAAACTGACCTTTTGCAATCCTGTGTCCACTGCTGAGTTTTCCAAATTTGCTGGCATATTGAGTGTAGCACTTTAACTGCATCGCCTTTTAGGATTTTGAATAGCTCAGCTGGAATACTGCCTCCTACAGTAGCTTTGTTGTTGCTCAGACTTCCTAAGGGCCATTTGATTTCACATTCCAGGATGTCTGGTTGAATTCAATGACCACCCCATCGTGGTTATCAGGGATGTTAAGATCTTTCTTGTATAGTTCTTCTGTGTAATTTTGCCACCTCTTCGTAATCTCTTCTGCCTTTGTTAGGTCCCTGCCATGTTGGGCCATTATCATGCCCATCTTTGTATGAAACGTTCCCTTCATATCTCCAATTTTCTTGAATAGCTCTCTGGTCCTCCCTATTCCATTCTTTTCTTCTGTTCCTTTAAGAAGGCATTCTTAAAGAAATACAGTGGTACCTTGGCTCACTAACTTAATCTGTTCCAGGACTCTGGTTGTGACCCAGATTGGTCATGAGCCAAGTTAAATTTCCCCATAAGGTTCAATGTAAATAAGGTTAATCTGTTCTGTAACCAATTTTAAATCAGAAAAATGTGAAGCAAAGTGACAACAACAAAGATCATGGCCATCTCCACCCTCCACACTACAAGCACAAGCACAAGCAAGGCCATCTCCCCGCCCGCCCCAGCACGACCGAGATCGCGCCTGTCATCCCTGCACGTGCCCGTCATCCTGGCGCGGTGGGGGGAGAGACAGGCGTGATTGTGGGCGCACTGGGGGAGGGAGAAATGGGTGCAAATGGTGTGCCGGGGGTGGGGAGATGGCCTCGATTGCAGTTCCGTTTGTGCAGGGAAGGCGTCCGTGATCAGAGGCACGCTCCTGCAGGAAAGACAGGCAGAATCTCAGCCATCTCCCCTGCGGCTCTGCTTTGCTGCTCCCGTCTTTCCTGCAGCAGCGCGCCTCTGATCACGGACGCCTTCCCTGCACGAATGGAACTGCGATCATGGCCATCTCCCCACCGGGGAGTGCGGGGGGATGGCAGCAATCTTGCTCGCCACCCAAAGCAGTGTTCACGACCCAAGTAAAATTTTTTCAGTAATTTTTGTTTGTGACCCGATCTGTTTGTGAGTCAAGGCGTTTGTGAGCTGAGGTACCACTGTAGTTCATTTAAGAAGGATTAAAGAAACTGTTCATCTCAGAAGGCATTCTTATCTCTTGTAGCTATTCTCTGGAATTCTGCATTCATTTGGGTGTATCTTTCTCTTTCTTCCTTGCCTTTCGCTTCCCTTCTTTCCTCAGCTATTTGTAAAGCTTCCTCAGACAGCCATTTTGCTTTCTTGCACTTCTTTTTCTTTGGGATGGTTTTAGTTGTACAATGTTGTGAGCCTCCATCTATAGTTCAGGCACTCTATCAGATCTAATTCTTTAAATCTATTTGTCACCTCTACTGTATATTCACCAGGAATATGATTTAGGTCATACCTGAGTGGCCTAGTGCTTTTCCCTACTTTCTTCAATTTAAGCCTAAATTTTGCAATAAGAAGCTCCTGATCTGAGCGAAAGTCAGCTCCTGGTTTATTTTTACTGACTGTACAGAGCTTCTGCATCTTTGGCTGCAGAGCACATAGTCAATCTGATTTCTGTGTTGACCATCTGGTGAGGTCTATGTGTAGAGTTGTCTCTTGGGTTGTTGGAAGAGTGTTTGCTATGACCATCGTATTCTCTTGCCAAAATTCTACCAGCCTGTGCCCTGCTTCATTTTGTACTCCAAGGCCAAACTTGCCTGTTATTCCAGTTATCTTTTGGCTTCCTACTTTAGCATTCCAATCCCCCATGATGATAAGAACATCATTTTTTGATGTTAATTCTAGAAGGTGTTGTAGGCCTTCATAGAACCGGTCAACTTCAGTCTCTTCAGCACCACTGGTTGGGGCATAGACTTGGACTACTGTGATGTTGAATGGTTTGCCTTGGATTCGAACTGAGATCATTCTGTCATTTTGGAGATTGTATCCCAGTACTGCTTTTCCTACTCTTTTATTGA